CCTAAAACCAGACTAAGCATCTTTTCTTTGATACAGTTCCTCTATTCTGCCTTTCTCTTTGTGGGTAATGGGACTGCCACACATTCTCAAATTAAATATATTCAATCAAATATTATTAACAATTTGAATGTGTTATGTATCTCTCTTTAGATTGTCATGTGTAATCTTACCAATTCTTCTACTACAGTACCTCTCAGATGTGACTATTTATTTTCATTTCAAATATGTATACCTAGCTCACATTCTAACAGTCTAATTGTTGGGTTGCTACAATATCATCTTGGCTGGTCACTCTGATTCCCAGTTTCCCTCTTTTCCAATATCTTCTACAAACTATTACTTGTTTAGGTTATTTTTTTTTCATTCTGATATTCAAGATATATAAGGAATGAACATGGCTATGTAAGACCAAGTACAATTCCCCAGTGGGCAAGTGGTTAAAAAATAGGAGTAATTGCTTTTCAGAAAAGGAATGAAAGCAATTATAATGAAGATTGCTCCAAATCACTAATAATAAGAGAAATATCCATCAAATTAAGTGACATTTTCATTTATATTCATAAAATTAGTAAAAATAATAAAAGAGATGAAGAATCATTGCTGTAGGGGTTGAACAGATGTGCACATACATACTTGGTAGAGCTGTAAATTGGTTTGGCCATGATGGAAAACAATTTATAATTAAGCTAAAACATGACTAATATGCCCATACCCTTTGAACCAGAAATCCCACCGTTAGACATATTATGAAAGGAATTCAAAGAAAGAAATAAAAATAGAGATAGCAAGACCTTTTGTGGTAGCAAAGAACTAGAAACAAATAAATGTTCACTGACTGAGGAATGACTAAACAGATTGTGGTACATGAATGTAATGAAATATTAATATACCTTAAGAAATATAAATATGAAGAATTCAAAGAACAATATTAAAGAAAGAATGGGAATTGATTCAGAGACAATATACACACTACCTACAATAATGAAAATCGAAAGAATAAGAAAAAATGAATAGTGTTTAATTATATAATTACCAAGCTTGGCTCCAGAAAAGAGTTGAAAAAATGCACCTCTTTCCTTTCTTAAAATATATGGGGGACTATGGATGTGGAACAGTTCATACAGTCAGACTTGGTTAACATGTTGGTTAATTTTTCATATCTAACTTTTTTCCTTTTTGATCCTTTGTTACAGTATGGTTCACTGAGTAAGGGAGGAAAAAGGAATATACCCAGGAATGTAAGTGATATAAAATAATAAAAATATATTTTTTAAAAAATCCTACCTAGAATAATTCCATGATATCCTAATATTTCCTTTGATTTTCAGAGGCCTAAGCATTTAAGCACATAGTTCACACCATAATCACATACATGCTTCTGCACTGTTTTGGACCTATTCTTTAGCCCCTATATATTTGCATATTATGTATTATCTTCCCAGCTAAATTAAAAATTTCTAGAAGGCAAGATGAATGTCCTCCATTTTTTGTGTGTTTCCCATAGAAACTGAATATAATGTTATGTTTGCATTCAATAGGCATTTAATAGATGCTTGCTGAACAGATGAGTAAATATTTGGAGAGACATTCTAGTAAAAGGCACACTTTAATAAACTCATCCTTTTCTCTCACCAAAAAAGGACCCAAAAATTTTTCCATTAGATATGTGGCCAAAAATCACCTCCTAAAACAGAGAAGGACAAATTCTGAGGTTGGAGGAGAAGCATCTCTCAGATGCACATATTATAGGAACAGAGAATAACAGAATAGATGACCACCTTAGGCTTTTCTCCCTCTTCTGAAGAGAGCCAGTTGGCTGAAGTAAGGAGATACTGATGTTCCCACATGGACAGAAGATAAACATGAGCTTTTTTAAACAGACAAGTCACAGCTTGGAAATCTTTCAGTTTTTCTCATTGAAAAATCAATACCCATCAGCAGTTTGAAATTAAAGGAAAGATTAGGCCCTAGTTTTATACATGCCTCATTGTATTCCAAAAGCTTTCTACTCAGTCAGATAAATCTTCTTTAAGAGGATTAGGAAAGTTTCATTATCTTTATCTAACCTAAACTAACACTAACTCTGAAAAATTAATCTATAGACTGGACAAAAGCCGATAGCCGTTGTGAAGAAACAGTGCTCTCAAGTTCCTTTCTAATTGAGCGGTGGGGTCTCTTTGCTTCCAACCACTGCAAATCCAATTGGTTTCCAACGAAAGAATAAGTCACCCTTTGTCAGCCAAGAGAGCCCACAGTCCAGCCTCCTTGGGTCTCCTTCCTCTAACCTCTCAAAAGTGGTATGGAAGAGGTGATAGGTTGGTCTGAGAAAGGTTCCCAGTGGCCTTCCTTATCTTGCCTTTTATAAGTGCTAGTGTACTTTGACACAGAATACCTCAAACATGCTCAGGTTATAAGGAGCCATTGGCTTGAACCCAGGAGACTGTGAACATTTTAAGAAAGACATTTTAAGAAAGAAACTCCATCATTATCCATTTACCTTTCTTGTGAGCTAGTCTCTGGCCCAAATGCTCCACATTCCTCAGGGAGATGCCTGTTCTCCCACTTTCCAACCCCAAATATTGCTTGAACAGCACAACGAAGAACATCCTTCACTTACGCTCCATAAGTGGCCCGTATTATGGCCTATATTGACTTTGATGTGCTTACATGATCCATCTTATTTCTGAAAAGTGATAGCCTTGTTCCATTTGAGCTTTTCCTGTATGGTGCCTGACAGTTCTTTTTATTTCAGTGCCACATTTCCTGAATTTGAAGATACCTTGGCTGTCAAGGCCACTGAGGTGCCATTGACACGTCACTTCCAATGCTGAGAATTTTCAGCTTCTCTGGAGCGGAGCCCAGGTGGCAGGTGGGGCAGTGAAAACTCAGACAACCTTGTTTTTTGTACTCTCCAGAAATTTCCAAGAGGCACTGCAACTTACTCTAGATAGCTGTCTTTACCAAGTACTTCTCCTGTTTTCTAAGAAGGTACATTACGTACCATTAGTTTATCTTTATAGCCACTGAGGCAGGCAGTCCTAGTGCCATGAAATGCCTACTCTCATTTCTCCTTGGGCTGTGAAGTTGATCCGTTGTTCTTGAAAGCTATGCCTGGGGCACTTTAATTCTAATAGGTCTTAACAAGCTTCAAAGATTTGAAGACTCAAAGATGGATTATATATCAACAAGTACATGGATCAACCTCGCTAGGGTTGGAGAACATCATCACCAGAAGGTTGAGCCACAGGTGCCAATGAATATTTTTGGCCAGACCAACTGATAAAAACCATCTATTAAGGCAGAGAGGTCTGTAATTTGCACCAGTGGAGACAATACCCATACTGCTGAAATCACAACTTTTTCCCCAAGTAGAGAAGAAAATAATCTAGTAATACTGAACGAATGTTCAGTTTTTCTAGGCTGAGTTTATGAAGAGAATGTCCAAAAGCAGAGTACCTAAGCTGCTGCCATACAATATGTTTTAGGGTCTGTGGAAAGATGAGTACTGTAAAGAATATATTGGAATGACTCAGTAAGAAAAATAAACACACCAAAAGAGACATTTTAAGGATTCACTGAAGCATAGCATCAACAGGAAGGATCAAGGGATCATAGATTAGGACCTAACAGGAACCTTAGAGGCCGTTGAATCTGACCCCCTCATTTTACAAATGAGGTAACTGAGGCACAGAAAGATTGAGTGACTTTCCCAAGGTCACAGAGCTAGTAAGTGTCTAAGGATCTTCCTGATTCTAGGCTTAATTAGGAGCTTGGAAACAAAAACAGCCAACTAATTATCGTGGCACATAATCATTAGGTGATTCTTGAATCAGTCAGGAGCCTAGGAGGCAAAACTGCTGCTATAAATATGATTTACAAAAAAAACAACCCTAAATTTAGAAAAAGTAATTATCCTGGGAGTAGTCTTCCTTTTGTCCAGTTTTCAAGCATCATATCCACACTTTGGGCATCAATGTAGGATCCCTGGAGGGTACTTCTTTATTATTAATGTTTTTGTAAAGGCACTCTTACCTTTGAAAGTGGATGTATGTGTATATCATATTTTAGAGGACATCTAGGTGGCTCAGTACACAGAGCATTGGGCCTGGAATCAGGAAAACCTGAGTTCAAATTTGGCCTCAGACACTAGCTGTGTGACCTTAGGCAAGTCACTTAACCTCTGTTTTCCTTAATCCACTAGAAAAGGAAATGGCAAACCATTCTAGTATCTTTGCCTTGAAAACCCCATGGATAGTATGGTCCATGGAGTCATGAAGAATTGGACATGACTAAATGACAGAACAATAATAATCATGCTATTTAAAATTAATTTAGCTTTATGAAAAAGGATGAATGAATGTGGATTCATTAACTCCCTTTCTTCTTAGATCTTAGATTGATCCCAAGGATAGACCAGAAAGTAGTTAAAACTGATATTTGTCATGGAGTTAGACTTTCCCTGGAGAGTGGAAGAGAAAGTTTTGATGAACTCTGGTAGCTAGTGGACCTACTATACATATAGCAGTGCCAAGGCATTTTCTATAAAGCACACCCTTGATTAACCTAGATTATTTGCACTTTAAAATATACCAGGGAAACTTCTTCAAGGAGAAGAGCATATTTGTCCTTTAATATGTACTTCCAAGCACATAACAAAGTCATGCATACACTGGGAGCCCAAATAGCACTTGTCAGTGACCTGGTTTATGAGAATACAAGGACTGAAAATATGAATAGACAACTTGACAGTCTGCTGATCTGACACCAAGCCAAAAATAGGGACCAATTAGAAATACTTGGCTCGGTATCATTTGAGGAGATTAAAACTTGGAATACTAGACTAGGGTTTTAGTGCTTGGATTTCCTGGACATTTGTAGAGCAAGACTTTTCCTCTCTTCATACAACAACAGTAGTAAGAGGTATCAGTCTCCTCCACCTACACATCAGCAGTGATAGCCAAGCACTTACGCAATAGTCTCTGGACGATGCTTAAACTTACCTTGTACTATAAGGTGAACCCTCGAAGTTTTCGGATGATTGTCTGTCTGTACAGAGCAGGTATATGGGCCCTCATCATACACGTCCACATCTTGGATCATGATGCTGTACTGGGTTTTAGTGTTGGCCACGATGACCACACGGGGGTCTATGGACCACTTGTCATTTCCGGCATAGAGGATCGTGCTGCGGTTTAGCCAGGCTACCCTTGTGACCCGGGCATCTACAGTACACCTGTTAATTCAAGGAGAGAGACAGAGAGGGAGAGAAGGAATGAATGAATTAGAGAGAGGACAGAGGGGGAGAGGGAAAAGGAGAAGGGGAGGGAGAGAGAGAGAGATTAGACTCTGAATCATTGGTTCAGAAAGAGTAATTTCAACTTTAGGATACAATCAGTCTTGGATTATTCTCACTAATAGAGGAATATAGTGCCATGGATTTTCCAAAATAGCAGATAATTTTAACAAAATCCATTCCGTTCATATGGCATTTTGTTTTGTCAGATTCACCTTCATTTCCTATCCCCTCCCAGCTGATGTTGTGATTGATCTACAACTTCTGAACATCTGGTGTTAACCCAATAACCGACCAAACTATGTTGTTTACTGACAACAAGTGGTGGAGTGGAAAGGGGACTAAACATGAAGTCAAAGGGCCTGGGTTCAAATACTGACTCTGATACTACTTAGCTGTGTAACTGCAACCAAGCCCACTTACTTCTCTAAGCCTCTGTTCCCTCCTTAGGGAAAAAAAATAAATGATAAAACTTTTATTACTTACCTCACATAGGTGTTTTGAGAAAAGATATTTGTCACACATAAAGTATTATATAAATGGAAACTATTAACTTGCCCCAAGATTTAAAATATGTCACTGATAACTTGCAAAATAAAGTCTTCACATGAGCTAACTGAAAAATTCACAGGATCAAAGGAGTATAGACTGAGGATGGGCAGGTCTTCTAAGAAACAGGCCCTAAAAGGTGAAGTGATTCACTAAAGGTAATAAATGGCATAGCCAAGTTTTGAACTCAAGACCTTTGACTTCAAATCCAATGCCCTTTCACAATAGATTGAGTTTATTTTGCTTGACCTGTTCAGTGATGATTACTTCTCTATTATCTCCAATCTCCCCATAACCTTAAAATAAAACAATCACTACAACCCTCATGGGGTTGTTGTGAGGAAATTATTTTGTGACCCTTAAAGACCTCTATAAATATCAGTTATTATCACCACTGTTTTATAGGTAAGGACAATGAGGTTCAGAAAAGTTAAAAGAAATCTATCCATGGTAACACAAGTTTCTAGGATTGGATTCAAATTCAGATCTCTTAACTCCAAGATGAAAGGCACCATGGCCTCGTAGCTAGAGTGATGGAAAGGGAATCAAGAACTGGCTTCAAAACCTGTCTCCAACATTGCTGATAAGTAGTAGACTTGGGATTCAAATACAGCTACTGATTTTATGTACCCTAATTTTATTTCATTACATGACTCTCCTTTAATATAACTCTATACTCAGTATACACCGTAATGTCACAATACACAATTTAAAAAAAACAGTATATTTCACTTTAAAAGTTCTGCCATTTTTGGTAAAACAACAACAATAGCAACAACAACATGGCAGCTGTTTAAGTATTCAAGATAGGAAAGAGTGGAAGAATCTTGGCAAATTATTCTAACCTTCTACTCCCATCCCATGGAATATCATGATACTTTCATGTTTTAATATGAATTAAAAGTGAAGGTAATTTTTACTCCTTACCTGATCTCTTATCTAACTCAAGTTTGTAAACAAAATGAAATTCATTTTCTATTTGGCTTATTCTTTCATAGAGGAACAGTCAGAAGAAGTTATAAGTAAACATTTTCATTACTAATTATTGCAGAGCTGATCTGAGACAAAACTGTGAAGTAAGTGGATTATTTTCTGAGTGGCAAGACTTCTCTGTCTTTATACTTCTATCCTTCCATGCCATGTACTGTTCATCTCTTTGTAATGCAATGTCACAAAGAATGTGTTTATAAATGATTAATAACTAGCGGGAGTGGGGCATGTATTGCAAAAATTATGTATGGCACAAGATGAGGTTTAATCTGCTTTATTAACATATTTTCTATAACTTCTTAAGTCTAGAAATCAACACCACCAACAACAAATCAAGCCCAGACTTGCAGCCTTTGTGTATTTCTAATGTATAAATGTTCACAAGTTTTTTTATTTTATTTTTATTTTCTATTCCAAATCCTCTTCCTCTCTCCAGTCCCCCCCCATTAAGAAGATAAGAAATGTTATATCCATTATACATAGGAAGTCATGCAAAACATATTTATGCATTAGTTATATTCCCCAAAAAACTCCAAGAAAAATAAAAGAAAAATACGCTTTAATTAATTCTCTGAGTCCATCAGTTACCTATCTGGAGGTGGATATCATTTTATATTATGAGTCCTTTGGAATTGTGATAGATCATTATATTGATCAGAATTACTAACTCTTTCACAGTTGATTATCTTTACAATATTGCTGTTACTGTATAGATTGTTTTCCTGGTTCTCCTCATTTCACTTTGCATCAATTCATGTAGGTCCTCCCAGGTTTTTCTGAAACCTTCTCTTCATAATTTCTTACAGCACAATACTATTCCATCATATTTCTATACTGCACCTTGTTTAACCATTCCCCAACTTGTATATCCTTAGTTTCCAATTCTTTGCCACCACAAAAAGAACTGCTATATTTTTGTAATATAGGCCCTTATTCTTTTTCTTTGATCTACTTGGGTTATAGACCTAGTAGTAGTATTGCTGGGTCAAAGGGCATGTACAGTTTTATAGCTCTTTGGGCATAGTTCCAAATTTGTCTCCAGAATGGTTGAACTATTTTATATCTTCATTGTCCCACATCTCCTCCAGCTTTTGTTATTTTCCTTTTCTGAAATAGGCAATCTGATGGGTATGAGGTAATACTTCAGAGCTATTTTAATTTTCATTTTTCTAATTATTATTGATTTAGATTATGTTATGACTATTGATAGTTTTGATTTCTTCCTCTGAAAACTGCCTGTTCATATTTTTTGACCATTTATAAATAGAATGGCTTTTTTTAAAATAAATTTGCTCATTTCTCTGTGTTTTTGAGAAATAAGATCTTTATCAGAGAATCTTGCTGTAATTTACCCCCCCGCCTCAGTTTCCTCCTTTTCTTCTCATTTTGGCTGTATTGGTTTTGTTTGTACAAAAATTTGTTAATTTTATGTAAATCAGTATTATCCATTTTACCTTCTCTGAACCAATCTATTGTTTGGTCATGAATTCTTCCCCTTTCCATACATCTGACACATTTCTTCCACATGTTCCCCTAATTTGATTCTGATATCAACCTTTATATTTAAATTAGTTATTCATTTTGAGCTTATCTTTGTATGTGGTGTGAGATCTTGGTCTATTCTCAGTTTCTCCTAGACTACTTATCAGTTTTCCTAGAAGTTTTTGTCATAATAATGATTTCTTGTTCATCAAACTCTAGGTTACTGTGCTCATTTACTTCTATACACTGTGTACTTAATCTATTCCATTGATCAATCACTCTATTTCTTATCCAGTACCAAATTGTTTTCATAATTACTGCTTTGTAATATAGTTTGAGATCTGGTTCTGTTAGGCTTTCTTCCCTCACATTTTTTTTTCATTGATCCCCTTGATAGTCTTGACATTTTGTTCCTCCATATGAATTTTGTTATTACTTTCTAGCACTAGCTATAAAGAAATTTTTTGGTAATTTTATTGGTATGACATTGAATAAATAGGTTATTTTAGGTGATATTGTCTTTCTTTTTATTATATTGGCTCACCCTACACATGAACAATTAATATTTCTCCAATTATTTGGATCTGTCTTTATTTGTATGAAGAATGCTTTGTAATTGTGTTCATATAGTTCCTGTGTGTGTCTTGGCAAATAGACTTTCAAATATTTTATACTGTCTGCAGTTATTTTAAATGGAATTTCTCTTTGTATTTCTCCTCGGTTTTGTTGGTAATATACCAAAAAGCTGATGATTTTCTTGGGTTTATTTTATAACTTGCAATTGTTTTGACTAATTTTTTAGTTGACTTCTTAGGGTTCTCTAAGTATACCGTCATATCATTTGCAAAGTGATAGTTTTATTTCCTTGTTGCCTATGTTTTTTTTTTCTTTCATTTCTTTTTCTTGAATTATTGTTGTAGCTAGTATTTTTAGTAAAACATTGAATATTAACAGTGATGTTAGATATCTTTGTATCACCCCTGATCTTATTGGGAAGGTTTCTAGCCCCATTACAGATAATGCTTTCTCTTGTTTTTAGAGAAATGTTTCTTATCATTGTAAGAAAAGCTCCATTTATTCCTATATTTTCTAGTGTTTTTAATTGAAATGGAGGGTGTATTTTGTCAAAAGCTTTATCTGAATCTGTTGATATAAACATATAATTTTTGTTGATGTTGCTATTGATATGGTCAGTTTTGTTTATGATTTTCCAAAATTGAACCAGTCCTACATTCCTGGTATAAAACCAACCTATTCCTAGTGCATAATATTTGTGAAATATTGCTGTAATCTCTTTGCTAGTATTTTATTTTTTAAAATTTTGCATTACTATTCATTAAGATAATTGGTCTGTAATTTTCTTTGTCTATTTTTTTGCTCTCTCTGGTTTAAGTATCAAAATAATATTTATGTCAAAGAGGGAATTTGGTAGACTTCTTAATAATCTACTTTTTCCCACCAGTTTATATACTGTTGGAATTAATTGTTCTTCAAATATTTGGTAGAATTTGCTTATAAATACACTTGATGCTGGTCCTCTATCTCCCCCCAGGAGCTCATTTATAGTTTGTTCAATTTCTTACTTTCTTTTCTTTTTTAATAGGGCTATTTAAGTATTCTATTTTTTCTTCTGTTAATCTGGGCTATTTATATTTTTGTCAATATTCATCCATTTCATTTACATTGTCAGTTTTATTGCTATATAATTGAACAACATAGCTCCTAATAATTGCTTTAATTTCATTTTACTTGGTTGTTCATTTAGTCTTTTAATTTTTGAGATTGGTAATTTGGTTTTCATCTTTTAAAAAATAAAATTAGCCAATGGTTTTCTATTTTATTGTTTTTTTTCCCACAAAATGTATCTTTAGGGTTTTTTTAAACTTTCAATTTTATTAATTTCTCCTTTGATTTTCAGG